AGATAACCTCAAAAAGCTAAAGAGAAATCTACCGCAATGCCCAGCTATAACACTTGTTGCATATGCCCGAAAGACTTGACATCCTACTCCACAGATACTTGCTCCACAGATGTCCACTGACGCCCTATTCACACTGCCAAGTAAACGAAAACAACTTAAATGCACTTCAACAGATGAATGCATAATGAAATGCAGTACATATACACTATGGAATTCTACCTAGCTGTAAAGTAAAATGACATGAATGTTGCGCAGGAAAATAGATAAAACTAGAAAATATTATACGGAGTGAGGTAACCCAGAAAGACAGACAGGAGCCTCATGTCCTCTCTCTTGAGCAGTTCCTATCCAAATCCTCAGACGCCAGTGTACAACATGGAGGAACCAGGAAATTACACAGGGATAGGGGATGAAAGGAGAATGACAGGTTACAGGTGATGAAAGGGGGATGGGAAAACGGGGAGGAAGGACTTCAAAACAGAAGGAGAAAGAGCTACTGGATCTGACCTGAATGCCTCCTTTCCGTGCTCTAGCTTCCACAGTACTAAAGTACAAACGCTTCAGAGAGAAGCAATCAACAGTCCTATCCAGCCATGTGATACCTACGAACCACAGCAAGAACCAGCATGGTCAGAGACCCCTCAGTGTGTACCAATAGCACTCATATGTTGGCAGTAACCAGCAGCTACCTAACAGGAGGAAATCATGCTTGATACTAGAAACCTGGCCAACTACTCAGGACTAGTGATCTTAGAAGAGAACTTAACTACTGACACTTTACTAGACCAGCACAATTTATGTATGCAACAATAACTTATATATGCAACAACAATAAATGGATCATTAATTTCTGACTGATGTGAATGTGATTACATTCTAAAATCTATTTTTATACCCACAGGTAAGCATAGCTCTCACCCCTCAAAGCAGCCTGTCTTCACAGCAAATGGAGATCAACACATTATGGGTGTCTAGCTCCCAGTGATAATCTAAAACACAACCCCTGAACCTTAGTTTCAAGGAACATCATGGAAGTTAGGGTTAGAAAGACTAAGAGCCTGAGAACCCGAAAGTCTGCCGGGAGATTATGTATCCTAGAAATCCTAGAAATGACAGGATACATAATGAAACCTGAACACTATGGCAGCCTGAATACAACCCAAGTAAGACCTGTATCATGTTATAGTAATGCCATAGGTTGACATTTCATGGGGTCCCACCCCCAAAGAACTACAGGCAACTAATGACTGCTGGGAGACAGAAAATTAGCCTATCCCAGGGATGACCTTCCTAATTAGTGATCCAATAAAAAACGGTCAGCTCTGAAACTGTATATATACAAGCAACAAAATGGATCCAGCATTCTGTATTTATATATTTATATTTATATATGTAGCAATTTATCAATTTGTGACAGCGTAGGCGGAATAGAAGAGGACACGGAAGGCTGGAGGGAGGAAAGAGGGAAAGTCATGTAACTATATTTTAATTTAAAAAAAGAAAAAGAAAAGCTAAAGAACTGTGTGCAAAGTGGGGTAGATATACTATGGCGCTTAGCAAAAATCACTCGGAGGGTGGCGGGGTGATCTTCAACAACACTGAGAGCATCCTAATGTCCTATGATCATGCAGGGACCAAGGAAGGCGCTGTCTACCATGCTCCGTACCGTGTCATCTTTCTATCTAAGGGGAAGGATGCCACGCAGTCCTTCATGATGCTGTTCATCTGAGGAAGGGCTGTGAGATCAAGCAGCCAGTGTTTGGTGCGAACTTCATTAAGGGAACGGCCAAGGCTGAAGCAGGAGGTGGCTGGGAAGGGGCCACTTCCTACAAGTACCTTCACAGCAGGGGGCGCCATTGAGTTTGAGCAGGGATGCTCCAGGTGGCATCACAAGCCTCCAGAGGCGAAGGCCCTCATGGAGCCTATGGGTACCTTACATGCCCAGCGGGGCCTGTCTTTGCCTCGCCAGTAGCCAGTGGAGTGTACCCATCCCCCAGGCTAGCCCGATCCACCCCCGAGTTCTATCCAGGACCTCCCATAATGGATGGAGCCATGGGACAGGTACAGCCCAGCTCCCCAATCCTGGGCCTCTGGAGCGGCCCCAGGGCCCCTCCACTCTGCAGCGAAGGCCAAGGCCACAGAAGCAGCTGCCAGCGAGCGCCCTATTACAACCCGGGCAACCACACAATGTCTACATGCCCACGAGCCAGCCTCCGCCGCCACCCTTGTACCCACCAGAGGCCTTGCCCACCTCCCTGCCTCTCCCTGGATGGCCGCTCTCCCTGACTCCCAGAGTCTCCGAGGCAGCTCCAAGGGCGGCCCAGGAAGGGAGGGGTCTTCCCCAGCCCGGGTACCAACAGCTACCCGGAACTAGCCTGATGGAAGGGCGGGGCTCCTGGCTTCCCTCTCACACCTGGGCCCCGGGAGCCTGGGATTACCCCTTGTTCCTCACTGGAGTAGCTCCTCCACCACAGTCCAGCCCCTCAGCCCGACGGCCATGGGCTCATCAGACCAGCCTGTCTCCTTCCTCCTGGTGTGTGCCTGACCCTGGAAAGCCACTGTCCAGCAGATGGTCGTCCACGTTCCCTGTGGGCGGCCCTGCCCTAGTCACGCTCGCCCTGCCACACTTGTCCCTGTTCCGTCCATGGCTTTGGGAATTTTACCCTGAGCTTCCAGTAGCTGGTGGCATCGGAAGCGAAGCCACTGTAGCTGGGTGCAGCCCCTCTGCTAGTGTTTCTGGGAATCATTTCCCCTCTCCCCCTCACGAGGGGCTTTCCCACAGGGGCATTGAGAGTACGAGTCTGTCCAATCGGCACCTCCAACCATGTGACCTGAAACCTTCCATCTGCCCCTTGTGAGCTTCCTGTCCCCTGGACACACTAAGATTTGCTCTTGTTTGTTCCTGGTCTGGACGCAAAATGAGGACATGGTTATTTAAAGAGAAATCCCTATTTATTTGACACACACACAAATCCAGGTAATACATTAAATGTGAAATAAACCCAGTTTGCACCTTGATTTGTTTGCTACAACTGTGAAAGAGTAAATGAAGTAACCAGAAAAACAACAACAATTAAAAAAAAAAGAACTGTGTGCAATGAACCAAGAATGGGAGAGAATTAGAAAGTCACCATTTTGTCACTCTTTAATTAAATAATAAATCTAAGCAATAATCAATGGCTATCTGAAAACAAAATAGTATTTTCCAAACCTTGGCGACTATAAGGAATGAAATGGCACACAATAGCACATTCACTGACCACTGGATTTTGGGCAAGTGACTTGCTCATGCAATAGTTTCAACTGTCAAGTGGACATAAAACCTCCTGTTAGACAATCTTTGGGGACGAGGCTCTTTCTTTCCTCCTTCCATCTGAGTCCCAGATAAAACTCAGAACCCCAGACTCACTGGCAGCTCACTGGTGAGCTATTTTGCTGGTTCAGCTTGTCATATCAAAAGAGGTAATATTTACAAAATGCTTACAACAGTATGATAGCATTGACTACTGGTAATGACACCACGTGTTTTAAATTAATTCCAAAGTGATGGCTATCATGGGGAAGTAACGACAAAGAAGAGATGGGGGTTTTCAAAGAGAAACATTTTGTTGGGAGGTCGTATTTTATAGTAGTGTTCACACCACTGTGTAGTGAGTGTCTTATTAAACAGAAAAATACTTATCACATGACACCACCATGAGTTTCTTACCTTATCCAAAAGGTGTATTATCATTGGTACAAGATTGGCATCAATTACTGCCTGAACCTGCTGTTGATTTCCTGCAGTGATGTTGGAGAGGAACCAAACTGCTTCCTGTTGAACAACATGCTTTCAGTATTTCTTACTAGAACAGAGCCTGAGTCTATGAAAACTACTCACCGACTACTGCCCCACTGTTTCATTACTGAATGGGTTCTATAGTAAAATCTGAGAAACTTCAATTCTACGATCCCTTTTCTGTACTTAAAAAAAGAGTATCTGATTAGTAACTTTTTTGTTTTGTTTTTTAAATAAAGAAAGGGTCTCATTGTGTAGCTCTGGATGACCTGGAACTCCTAGAGACCCACTTGCTTCTTCTGTCTCCCAAGTGCGGAAATTAAAGGTGTGTGCTACCATGTCTAACCCTCCACACTTAATTTCTATATAAGAATATAGTTTACACATTAACTAATACCTTTCTACATTTTCTTTGGATAAATCACTACTGGCTTCTAATTCAAGTCACAATGAGTTAACTCTTCTAAAGAATTTTTATAGGCAATGCTGTCTGAGAACAGTATGACTTAAAAGAAGTTTGGCTGAACAAACACAAGGAAGATGTAATAAACTATGAATCCTAAAACTATTGCAAATGAGATTCAGCACCCTTTTCTCAAATAACACACTTTATTCTACTCTCCCTAGTTTACCTTATCTATCCCAGTAGATAAATCTCAATTAGCCATGACAATGAAGACCATCAAAAATGCAAGTGAGTTCTTTTAGTGTCCTTATTTATAATAGTCATTCATCATACCAGTTCTCAAGAACTAAATGTGGAACTAGTTGTTGGTTTGCTAGATTAGTCTATTTTAATGACCTTTGAATGCTTCCTTCAACACCTAAGATGCTATGCTATTGCTAGGATGATAGTGACCACAAGTGTTTCACAAGCTTCAAAGATAATAAATGCATTACTAGGGGCTGGAGAGATGGCTCACAAGTTAGGAGCACTGACTGCTCTCCCAGAGATCCCAAGTTCAATTCCCAGCAACCATATGGTGACTCGCAACCATCTGTAATGAAATCTAGTGCCCTCTTCTGGCCTTCAGGCATACATTCAGAAAGAACATTCATAATAAACAAATAAATCTTTAAAACAAAATAAATGCATCATTACAATCCAAGTTAGCAATAAACAACAACAACAAAACATTTATCATCCTATGGAGGATATTATTACAATTAACCAAACTTAAATTCACCAATTTACTAATTAGTATTGTAAACACTAGACTCTCTGGATCAGATCACAGGACATTTAATGAGCCTGTTAGAGACGTTAGGGTGCTGGGCTACTTAGGTGAGCTGTTTTTGGGCTATAATCATCGGCAATATTGTAATCAACAACCCAATTATTTCTACAACAGCCTCAGATGCACTCCAATATCAGCATCACCATTCAGTGCCCCCTTTCATAGCCACCACACACAAACACACACACATGCATGCACTCACACTATTAAACTAGGAGAACTGTTCTACATACTAAAAATTTCCACTCATGACAACATTCAACACCCAAGTATCTCTATTTCATCATTTCCAAGAGAGCCTAAAATGTAATTTATTGGTGATGGTATAGTATAACTCAGCGGTAGAACATGTACTTGCTAAATCAAAGGCTTTGGTTGGAATCTAGAATCCCATGAGCATCTTATGAAGAGTGAGATATTTTCTCTTGGAGCCTTTAAACAGCATCTATTAAAAGTCCATGCTATAAGGACATTTCTCGGGACGTAATTCCACAGACAAAAGGTACCTTTTATTACTATTTTAAAGTGCTTACTTTGTTGATCTTCTCTTTGGGGTGGGTGAGGAGTGCTGGGAAGTGTGAAAGAGCATCACAGTTTAAAACGACTTGTGTTTGCTCATCAGTTCCAGTGACAATGTTGCCCACAGCTCGAAGCGCAGCAGTCTGAAACGGAAGGTTCAATGAGATTCCAGGCTTAAGTACTCTTTTCAACCAGTGTCAGGCGACTTGAGACAGATGCATTCCTTCACGCACACCTTATTTAATCTTCCACAGCAACTATCTTATCCCCTTTGAGCACTTACTCTAAATGAGGGACAATAGTAGTAGTCTAGAAACAACAGTGGAAATATGAAATACGTAAATTCTCGACCTTATGTAGCTTGAGTTATTTTAAGAGAATTGATATCAATAAAAGAGCAATTTTAGATAGTAATTACAACCATAAAGAAAAAGAAGTATTTTAATTTCCTGTTAATTTTTCCTCCCTGCTAGATAAATGATTCAACTGTTTAAACACATAAACTTGCTCTTTCAAGAACAGACAATTTAGTACTTACTAGAGTATTCTAAGCTGCACAACCAACATTAACATCAAATTACAAACATTTTTATTATATCCCAAAGAAGATATGTATCCAATAACTGTCATCAACATTGTCCTCAATCCCAGGTCCCTGGAAACCCCCCCCGCATCTATCAATCTGTATACTCTGCACATTTCATATAAACAGAAACAATTGTCGTGGCACCTAGTGGTACTCAAGTAATAATTTGTAATGTGGTTAGTAACAGTTTACTTCTGTTTTGGGGTTATTATGAATAATGCTGTAACAGACATTATATTCAAGTTTCTTTGTGGACAAATGCATATTCATAATCTTGGATATGCAGAACAGTAGGAATATTAGGTCACAATGAGCTCTGTATTTCACTTTTTTTTTTTTTGGTTTTTCAAGACAGGGTTTCTCTGTATTGTTTAGGGGGCTGTCCTGGAAATCGCTCTGTAGACCAGAGCTGGCCTCGAACTCACAGAGATCCGCCTGCCTGTGCCTCCTGAGTGCTGGGATTAAAGGCGTGCGCCACCACTGCCCGGCTTCTGTATTTCACTTTTAAGGATACTATACTCTAGTGCTGCCATAAGCAGTGTAGTCCCCTTTTCTGCATTGTTGCCATTTTAACTACAGTCTTTCTGAATGTGAATGATCTTCCAATTCAATTCACATTTCTTCAATGCTCACTGACCATTTGGACGTCTTCCTTAGCAAACTGCAAATCTTTTGCCCATTTTTTGGTTCGTTTTCATGTATACCTAAAGAGCCCAGAAGGTGTAGGGTCCTCCAGAACTGGAGCCACAAACGACTGTGAGCTGCTGCTATGAGTGTCCACAAGCAAACCAGGCCTCTGCGAAGAGCCAGCGCTCTCAGCCCTTTCAAAAAGTCTGTTTTTGAAGATGTAGATAGATAAAGAATATGCTACACGGCATTATAATTATGTGTAAATTTTAGGCAGGGTAGGGATATAGATAAAGTCTATATTGGGACTGGTTACACTATCTTTTTTCAAGAATTCTGACATGAAAGTTGAAAAGTTTAAGAAATGTCTGTTAGTTACCTGATAAAGTATAAAGCATTAACATTCTCTAAGGACTGACAAAAGGAAAACTCCAAGCCCCATACTCTCAAGCCACAATTCTAAGGCCAGTATTAAAACTAAAGAAGTACTCTGCTTGGTTTTTTTGGAGGGTATGTGAGTGCGGGGTGGCTAAGGCTGGCTGTGTCATCTTCCACCTCGAAAGTGCTGGTATCACAGAACTATGCCCAACATGAAGTAAAAATAGACTAAAACCAACAAACTTATCTAATGTAAATTTGGGGCTGGGGTAGGTGAGAGCTCTCGATAAATCAAATCCCCAGAACCCTTGTTAAAGAGCCAGCTGAGTCGTGTGTCCGCCTGTAACCCTAGGACAGTAGGGATGTCCTCCCCTGGCTTCTGGGTGCACACCTGATGCACATACACATGTGCATACACCACACACATACAAATCTTAGTAATAAACATATAACAGACGTTCACAATAAGCACACATTTCTTGGGTACTTCCTTTTTTAAAGTGTTTTTAATTAAAAAGAAAGCCTTTCTATTTTTATTTAGTTTGTGTATGTAAGTACATAAAGCTTGAGAGAGCAATGTTCGGTGTTTTCCTTCCGCTACTGTTTGTCACTTTCTCCCCAGAGACTCCCACTGGACCTAGAGCTCCCCGATACAGGGGATCTTGCTCTTTCCCCTCCCTAGTGCTGGGACCAAGGCACAGGTAACCACATGAACATTTATGTGTATGCTGAGGATCTGAACTCAGGTCCTCATGCCTGCACCTTTAAGTCAATGCAGCTCTATTGTTAACTACACACTAGTTTCACTGAAGAGCTGGCTTAAATTTGTAGGAAATACAATGGTTTTTACTCAGTCTCTAGAGGCTAAGGAAGGAAATTTTTAAAGATTTTTTTTTAAATTTAAGCTTCGTGGTTGATTCCAAAGTCCAGCTAAGGGCAAGAAAAAAAAATAACTAAGGCCAACAGCTTTCTTTATGTAAAATTAAAACTCACTATTTACCTTAGAAAGGTATATGTGGGGGGTGGTCTGCTTGCTTAGTATCCTTCATCATTGTGGTTTGACTATCTATGTGTTCGCGTGAAAACTAGACTATCTCTCTGTGGGTGTGGGGACTAAAGGGGTTTGACTATCTATCTCTCTGTGTGTGGTGAACTAGAGACATTTGACTCTCTCTCTCTCTCTCTCTCTCTCTCTCTCTCTCTCTCTCTCTCTCTCTCTCTCTCTCTGTGTGAACTAGAGGCATTTGACTATCTCTGGGGTGGGACTAGAGGAGTTTGATTATCTGTGTGTGTGTGTGTGTGTGTGTGTGTGTGTGTGTGTGTGTGTGTGTGTGTGTGTAGACACTAGAGGCTGAACTTTGCACAAGGAAGGCAAGTGCTATGCTATTCATCTGAGCTATATCCTCAGCTCCACCTACAACTTTTCCCTGATTGTTATATATGGAGCCTCATGAGATAGAGTATGTGAAAAGCCTTAAAAGTAAAAACATAATAGAGAAACAATTAGGAAGCCCTTACTTATAAACTGCACATTTCACTTCAAATCCTTTATCTTAGAATCAGTAAATCAGTGTTAACCAAACCTGTTAACAAGAATGGTTTCAGATGCCACCCAAGGTGCTACATGCTTCTCTAGAGTAAAAATCAGTTCTTCACAGCAGAGTCTCCCTGTTTGGCAGGGAAAGGAAGGTTCCTAATGAACCAGAGTGCTCTTCTCTCATTTCCTCCACTTTAAAATTAGGATAAACTAGCTCACCTTTCCCCATCAAAGGCACATTACATTGTTAAGTGAATAATACGCTTTACATTTTTGAAACTGGTAATCTTTGAATGTCATGCTTAAATCAATTAGTGGTGAGAAAAACCCATCTTAATGAAAATGAACTTACTTGAACTTTAACTTCCTGGTGGCTGAGTAGAGGAACCAAGTGAGGAACGATTCCGGAGTCTATTACCATCTGTATCTGTTCATTGCCAGCATCCGTAAGGTAGGAGAGGGCCCATACAGTGTCTACCAATATCTAATAAGTAAAACAGAAGTTCAAATCTTAAATGTTTTTTCATTTTAGTAATTCTTTTCTTTTTTTTTTGTGGGTGGGGCAGTTCAAAACAGGGTTTCTTTATATAGCTCTAGCTATCTTGGAACTTGCTCTATAGACCAGGCTGGACTCAAACTTAAGAGATCCATCTGCCCCAGTCTCCCAAGTGCTGAGATTAAAGGTAGGTGCCACCACTTGGCTATTTTAATTAGTAATTTTTAACCACACAACCAATCTGAGGGCTTTCTCGTCTTGCTTCAACTCTCTAGAACATCAATCTCTACTCTGTATCTTTAACTATACTTAGGATGTATAATCTCAGAACAGTACTGAATCTTAATTCAGCAAACTACAAAGCACATTAAATAGAAAAATCAACCAACCAACCAATCAAAGCAAGTAAGCAAACAAACAAAACACCACCCAACCTGTTTTTCTCAGATGTTCACAATACAGTATGATAGGTCCAAGTATATTGTAGCTAATGTATATGGTTAGAAAAATACACACTCATCCACCACACATACCCATCCACCACGCACAGTGGTTTATAGTACTTAGGACAGGTCAAATATATTTTAAAAATTCTCTAATACTATTGGTTCCTACAGGTATGCACACTACTGCTGCCGCCTGGGAAGTGGAAGGTAAGGCTTGTGACCCCATTTCTTAGCATGACATGTCTACTTTATTCTTGAGCTCAGCAGCTGTAACCATCTGCATAATACCGGGCCTGCCAATACCCTGTTATAGAAGGGAGAGAGACTCGTGGGGCATATACACCCCGCCAACCCCCTTGAGCAGTTAAAGGTTAACAGGAGAAAGACGGACATTTTCTTCAGTGGTACAGCAACTAGAAAGGCATTTCTAACCCTGCAAATACTCCCTCATGCATGCTCTTCCTGTAAGCAAGCCCAATGAAGCTTACTGGGTCACACACACACACACACACACACACACACACACACACACACACACACACACACACACACACACACACACAAGACATGACAGGTGAAGGGCATAGAATTCAAAACAGGAAGGAGATTATCAGGACAAAAGTGGTGTTGTGTGGTGGTGTGTGTGGAAGAGACAGAGAAGAGATCAAAACATATTATGTACAAGCATAAACATGGCACAATA